TCAAAATAAGAACATAAAAAAATTCATCCGAACTATGTCAATGGAACATCTTTTCCTCTTTTTAAGGAATAAATAAATCTAGTAGTACATCTATTCCAGCCGCCAAGCTACTGCTCACATTACTATGTGAGCAATTACTACGTTCCAGTTTGAAGGGTAAGAGTGGTGTTGGTGAAATTACAGGTACATGGGACTTGTCAACTTATGTCTCAGGGTGACGGGCGCAGTGGCAGTTGTCCATAAGATCTTTGTGATTTACGTGTGCACATAAATTCCGGAAAAGCAGAAGTGAGAGTCCGACCTATGCTTAATAGATGGTAGGGCAAATTATTAGACTAACACAGGACCCAGTGTATGTGTTATCTTTCAAGTGATTTGTTTAAATACATCATTTATTGTTTCAAATTCAAATTCAAATTCAAAATAATCTTTATTTCATAGGTAAACATTATTGCACTTGGAATCGTCACAATGGTTAAACACTACCGCTCATTCGTAAGGCAGATTCCCCTGAGAAGAATGAGCAAGACACTCTAGGGGTTGCTCTTTGTAAATAACATTTGTACACATTCAACATTTACAATATATATATATTTTGTTTTGAAACATCAGAGATCGAGACTACCTCCATGAGCTAAACGGGTTACTACCACGGATTTTTGTCATCCAAGTACGCACAAGTTGTATGGAATACAAATAAAGTAGAAAAACTTTATACTAAAGGTTATTATAATAATAAATATAATATAAAAGGTTATTATAATAAATATATTATAAAGTTTTTCTTTCTCTATAGTTTTAAACCTCGTGAAAGGCAAATTTTGTATATCAACCGGAATCTCGTTATAGAAGCGTATACATTGCCCCTTAAATGATTTTTTGACTTTGTGAAGACGACTATCAAGAAAGCTAGTTTATTTGTATTCCTCGTATTAATGTTATGTCTGTCACTATTTTTCATAAAGAAATTACTATTCCGTAACATAAATTACATTTTCATAAATGTACTGTGAGGCTAGTGTAAGAATGTTAATTTCCTTAAACTTATCTCTCAAAGATACTCTGGGGTCCAGATTGTAAATTGCCCTAACCGCACGTTTCTGCAGGACAAAGATTCTATTAACGATTCTACAGACTTTGAAAGTAGCTGAAGTAAACCAATCTACATAGATGTTTCGACGTCTAAAAGTTTCCGTATTTTTTTAATCGCGTACACTGCACAGCCGAGCCGTTTCGATAACTTACTTATATGGGCACCCCATTGCAATTTAGCATCTATGGTTATACCTAGAAATATAACTGTATCCACAAGTTTAGTGAAAGTGTTCGCTCCGAGAAGTACTGCCACCTTACTTATTTTTAACTTTTTTTAACTTGTCAAATTATGTCTCAGGGTGACGGGCGTAGTGTTAGTGCGCCTCTGAAGTGCACTGCAACTGCTATGAACAGGCGTGTCGCTTATCACCAGGTGTATTTTTTTTATAAATTTGACCTTGGTCGACGATTTAGCAAGCACACCTAAATAATGCCTATTCACTCTCGCCTTGAAAAGATCCAAGTTATAATGTTCAGGGAACAAGTCGCAGGCAGGGAATTCCACTCCATAGCAATTCGCCATATAAATGTGGAAGCGTAACGCTTCGTGCGAATCTTTGAAATATCCACAACATAGGGGTGGAACCCAAGCCTACGCCTAGTCCCCCGGTGATTGAAACGGTAAGGCAGAATTAAATCGTGTAATTCCATCGCACACTCTCTGTGACATATCCTGTAACCGATAAGCGGGCAACTTTACGGTGGTGTTCAAGGCTGTGCAGCTTCGCCTCCACTAATTCTGAGTCACAGATAAGCCTCTTGTCACGGTTGTCAATTGAGTCAGTTGATATGCAGCAGAGCCATCCCAGAGGTGGCAGCAGTACTCCATGCACGATCGGACTTGTGCTTGGTACAGCTGAAGCAACTATCCAGGTGTAAAGTAACTCTTTACCCTGGAAAGGATCCCAGTCTTCCTTGCTGCATTTTTGGACACGGATTCAATGTATTTGCTGAAGTTCAAATTTGGGACAGGTTCCTTCCAAATAGCTGGAGACAGTCGGCTATCGGTATGGATATAGCACGAAAAGTCGGAGTCAGCTCAAAGGGACTCCGTTTTGTGGAGAACAAACACGTCTGCGTTTTGGTAGCGTTAAATTTGACAAGATTGGCATTGCCCCAATCGGAGACTGCCTGGAGTGTCAAATCTAAACGGCTAACCATGGACTCTCGACAAGACTAGATGGTGTACGACTTGGTCGTCTCGTCGTTTGGTATCATTAAGGTATATAAACACGGTAACTTACTTGTATCTATCAAACGCAATAAATGCGTTAGTAATTGCTCCTCCAATCCCAGAAAATGCTCCCAGAACGCCGTAAATATCGCACGCCAAAGTGTAACCCAAAGGGCGCTGGTAGAATGAATTTATGATGAGGAGAGGCATCTCCAACATCATCATCAGGTCGGAAACTGCCAGATTGATTACGAACATGTTGCTTGGACTGCGTAGGGATTTTGAACAGAAAAAAAAAAAGGTTTCGTAACAGTCGTTAATAATAATATATGAAATAAATGCATCTATTTATTTATTTCTATATTATGTATGCATCTATACATTGTGTAAAAAAAATTATAGCTGACCACCGGTAGGATGTCCCACATCAAGGAGATGAAAATACATATTAGAGCATTCATCCCTGAAAATCTCTTCTTAGTAGTAGAAGAGCTCTTTTTTACTTGCAGTAGAGCTCCTTGTGAAAGAGTTCGTCCGGAGAAGTACTGCTACCTTACCTATTTCTCTCGCCAAGCAGCAATATGAGCTTTACTTCGTTCCGGTAGTGAAAGATAAGGGAGCTGGTAAAATTATTGACACTTGGGACCTGTCAATTTATGTTTCACGGTGAGTTTGCGATTTAAAGCTCTGAGTGGAACTGTAACTGTTATAAATAGGCGTGTCACTTGTCATCATGAAAACAAAATTTTTGAACAAAATGGACGCCAAACGCGGTACATGCATTGTTAGAGGTACATGAACAACATGTTACATCAACATGAAGAGATGTTGCGTGATACGTGAAGCCGGGCAATCCTATTTATCCTATGACATTACATACATATTATGACAGCACATTACATCGTGTGAATTGATACACTTATATGTGTAACAACAACACATACATGATATCAAAACAATAAGCTGGCTCCTACTGTTTAGATCAATTTCGACGGGGAATTTAATATTCCACGTTGAAATAATAATTAATGCGTCTATTGTATCCCGTATCTTTGTAAATGTCGTCTCATGCTCATTATATCATTTGTATGTTGTTGTATTGTTATAATAACGTTTTATTTCTCGAATTTCGAATTATCTGTTATTGTTATTGAATAACAAGACGTAGGTAAATGGAAATTACTAACAGCGTATGAAATTATTTTTCGGATCTATATATGTTTTTTCAAACAAACCAACCGTGGTCACGGTTGACTGAGACAGTAACGCCATCAACCAGTTATGTCTAATATTAATGCAAACCACTTTATTTTTTGTTGTTTCACAAGTTATTAAATAAATACTTACCTTATTTTAATTTTCCAGGAAACCTTCCAATTTACGCTACATATTTCAACAATATGAATTTTTATTAAATTAAATTTATTACATTAAAATCAATCAGTCAGCCGTGACTATAGGACCTGTAAAGAGGCCGAAACGTTGTTTTGTTTGATTGAAATGATTATCACTAATATCAGGTTTCTTACCACGATACTTCTTTTTTTTTTTCTTTTTTTTTTAATACATGACAGGTAAATGACTCCACTCCACCTGATGTTAAGTGGAAAGTGGTATCCAAACGCGAAGGAACCTAGTACAGCGATGAAACCCTCACTGCACTAGCCACCTCCACCCTGCCTGCCTACAATATGCCTCTTCACGCCTCGTTTGAAGGACCTCATATCTTTTTATTTGGTTGGTTTGTTAATAATAACAAACTAACAACAAAATAAAGTTTCAAGTGATAAAAGCACTTCTGACGATGATGACATGTTTATCATACCAAGGGTACGAACTATCGAAACTCAAAAGCTGATGACAACAAAAGTATGGACTATCGCATATCGCGTCCTCCAATACTCAATGTGACTTGTAATGATAGTGTTAATGGAATCCATTATTAAAGGGTCTCTATTGTTCCCAACAGGTAGACATTTTGCTCATGCGTACTGCTGAAGGTACTATCAGATATTCAAATGTGAATTTCAAACATGTGTAGTCCGTGATCGGAGATTCTCTATGTAGATGTACCTCAGAGATCGCGTACAGCCGGATCGGAGGAATTTTTCTTTGTGTTCGATCTTTATATTAATAATCATGAAAAAATATTTATATTTTTATTTCAATATTTTTTATTATTATCATTTTTCCCGTCCTTTGGGTTAACCATGCCTAAATGAATCAAGATAACACTGCAATTATACGTTCCAGAGTTTTTATTAATTTTTGTTGAAGAAAAACTTATGAACTTCTTGCTCAAATATATTATTAAAGTAATATAATATCTGAAAAAGGTATAATTTAACTAATTAAAATGATAACTACAAACACTATTGCGGTGACTACATTTTACACCACATTTTTATCTTCGTCCTGAAAAATTACGTTGAAACCACATACGAAGTATTCTCTCTAAGACGGCGATAATGACTTTTGCAAAACTTTGACACACGAACAAAACAACATTCTATGAAAAAATAATAGATAACGTTTTAAAACTTCTACTGTCATAGGCTTCACGCACTTTTACAGTTTGAGAATATCAGTCATCAATGTATTTACGCATGACTAAATAAGCAGTAGCTTTACTTTTTATTGAATTAAGGAATTAAGAAGCACGCAATGTTTGACCGATATAAAAGTAAGGATCGCATCCTATAAATCACAAGTGAGAAGCGACTGGATATGTCGGACTACTCACTTCGTCAATAAAACATTTGACTAAATATAATTTTTCACTTTTCATTCTGAACAAATGTTACAGTAATACATCGAGAGATTTCCCACACGCCATTTTGATAACATCAAATGCACAAAATGGCGGAAAATAACACCGGTTTATATGGGCCTATGGCAGAGCCTTTGAAAATGTTTGTATTTATGTGTTATTTGCTAATAATGCTCCTATAGCACCTACAATAGGTTTCATTAACTTTATCTCGATTTTAGGGTGTCACAAGAAGTGGTAGAGCACATGTTAGGCTGGAATATTCCAGAAGAACACCGAGATCTAGTCCATGAACATTGGCGTAGCTTTCCAGCGGTCAGCAAGTACTGGCATTTTGGTCTAGCCCTCATCTACTCAGTACTGATGATCACATCGATGATGGGGAACGGAATGGTGGTCTGGATTTTTAGCACGTGAGTACATTTCCTGTATTTGTAATAATTATTATACACACAGTTTTTTTCCTGCTTTCGCAAGCCAAGGTAGCCTAATGGTTTGACCTACTGCCTCTCAAGCAGAAGGCCGTGGTTTCGAATCCAGGTTCGCTTCTCTGAGTTTCTCTTAGTTTATGTGCGAAATTTGATTTTCGGTGAACGAAAATATCGTGGTGAAAACTGCACGTCGAAGAAGGTTCACAACCCTCGAAAATGTGTGAAGTCCCCAACCCGCATTAGGTTAGCCTGGCGGACTATGGCCTAAACCCTCCCTGTGAGGAGCCCCGTGCCCAGTAGTGAGACGTATAAAGGGATTGATGATAATGATGATGTTCTTTCAACTTCATATCGTAATTGTCAACTTATGTATTGTATTAATATAATCTGCCATTTGAATACCCAGATGTAATTAAAGACCAGACCTAGAAACTTATTGAACTATTTGTTTCTAAAATGAAAACCTATAAATGAATTAATTTAACGCCTAACAAAACGCCGTTAATAACGTGGAAGAATTTGATGGGATCGAGTGGTGTTGACTGCGTCACTTGGGGTGATTTAATTAAGTTTCTAAACGCACTCAGCCAGCGTTTGAGTGACACAATGAGCAAGAAAAGTCTTCCAGATAAATAGATAAATTAAACTCGATATGTCACTTTCTAATTGTGCGCAAATGGAAGATTCAATTGACAGAGATTCTTTTGGCACGTGAAATGGGAACAAATTTGGTAAGCCACGACTTATATGATCTATTCAAAACAAAATTAGGCAGATTCTCTGTGTTAATAACAAAAGCGTGGCCTATAAAATCACTCAATATTGCACTTTACGTCTGGGTTCGAAATTATCAAAGTATGTATTTATTTACTTTGATTATTTATGATGATAATTATCCTTTTTTTTTATGACAGTGATCAAACTTAATAAATACGAAAAAAAATCTTTAGGAAAACGATTATGCTTGTGACTTTTTTTGAGATTGACATTTGACCCGTTTGGATACGTCTCCGATATGAACACATCGCAAGACGTTGCTAGCGGTAGCATTTTCTTGTCCCAATAAATTTTGTCGATGATAATTATCAATGATAATTGTCACTTCGAACCTTGATATACGTAGGAGAGTGATGTTATACTCATAATACAATGGTACGCGTGCCAATCTCAGTGTTTATCAAAGCTGAAGTTCAATTTAGACCGTTCGGATGTTCGTAAAAATAAATGGGATTTCCTTACGTATTTAAAAGTTGCTGAAACTCCAAGTGATAATCATCAATGATAATTATGTCTTCGTACCCTGCCTTACGTAGAAAAGTGATGTCATAATCATAATACAATACCTACTGAATGGTACAAATGCCAATCTCAGTGTTTATCATAGCTGAAGCTAAATTTAGAACGTTCGGATGTTCGTAAAAATAAATGGGATTTCCTTCCCACATCCGCGGCGAGGGAGGACAGTGCGCGGGGCCCCAGACTCTCAAACGAGTGTCACCGCCAAAGTTATAAACCACCCCGCGCCTCAGTTCGCGAGCTCGGAAACGTTTCCGATGTTCACCACAAGTATTTTTATAGGGGACCAAAGCTAGAAGTGTTTTTTCGGAGCAGTTCTAATACGAAATCTTACAAAAAACTTAAAAACTTGTAACTAAACACAACTTAAGTAAAAAAGGTACTAATTCTATTAAAATGTTTGTGACACATTCGGCAAGGTATAAAGGATTATTTATAAAATACTAACATCCCGTTGGACTTAAGAATATTACTAAAATCATAAACAAAAACTTTCGTTCTATAAGACTTTACAAAACGTAATTATCAAAAACAAACTTTTGAGTTTTTCGTGTACTATCTCACACTTTTTAGATCTGTAATTGATAGTAAGGTAATAGGTTAAAATGTGTAAGTGTCCTTTGTGACCGCACAGAGCTGTCAGCGTTTAGAGCGGTCTATTTAAATATTTTTTCCTTTTGTATGAAACTAAAATTTAACGAATTATCAAAAATCATGGAACAAAAGTTGTGGTCTAAGATGTTAGTAACATACTTCTGCGAGATTGTTAGTATTTTACAAATATTGTATACCAAATTAAACAAACTTCAAATTTGGTTTTCGCGTATATTATATATTGGAATCTCATTATCTCATTATCTTTTTTTTAAGTCAGTCGTAACCGTAGGACCTACAAAGGTCCCGAAAATTATATTTGTTTAAAAAACACATACACACGCGTTTTAATTTTTTTTTATAATATCAAGTGCAGGGAGGAACAAGTCGTGAGCCTGATAGTACGCTACATGCCTATCCATAACAGTTGCTATGCCACTCAGAGCTTTAAATCGCAAAGATCTGAGGGGCACTGCCACTGCGCCCGCCACCCTGAGATATAAGTTGACAAGTCCCATGTGCCTGTAATTTCACCAGCACCTTTACCCTTCAAAACCGGAACACAGTAACGCTGACATTACTGCTTGGCGACAGAAATAGGTAAGGTGGCAGTACTTGCCTGGACGAACTCTTTCGCAAGGAGCTTTTTGAGGAGATTGCTACTAAATTCATTAAATAGTGAAAGTAATAGTTTCATTAAATAATTTCATTTCCAATAAACATTATATCACACTTCAATATTGAACACGTCTCAGCCGATTTATTAAGAAGCTATTCTCACCGTTCTGACCTAGTAACAACGGAGATGCAGGTAGCAGCACCGTGGTAATATCAAGTACCTATTACAATTCAGGGAGTGCAGCTCTACATTTTTATACCTACCCTATTTATCTTCCTCTTTTGTTTCCGAGGAATCCGTGCTATTGAGGCATGAGTATCATTTTTGGAGTTTCAACAACTTTTAAGTGCTAGTCGAATATTTGTGTAAGCAAAGACCGTCTGAAAAATTTTATTATTATCAATGAGTATAGACGTATTATACACAGCCCGATGTAGGCATGCAAGCTATCTATTTCGTTTCTTTCTAAAGCATAATTTTCTATGATCATATTTTCCAGCGAAAATGATAATTATAAGAGGACTACATGACAAAAAGAAAGTAAAAAACAATAGCCCACATGTTCTGACAATATACACACAAGCGCTGCTGATCGTATGTTAAACTGATGTTTCTATTCATGTCAAAACTATGCCTTAAGCACCCTGTAAATGATCCAATTTGCTTGTCAAATTTACCCTTCGAACTTCACGTTTTCTTGAAACAATACCGCAAACGATCCAATGAATTGCGACTGTGGCTCTGGTTTAGCACAGACACTGGTTCGATTCTTGTCAGGCCGCAGGAATGTTTGTCAAAATTTTAATATCGATTTTTATTAAATATGATGATGATATTCATTTTATTATTTTATTAAATTACTTCACTAGTTTGTTATAATTATGAATACAAAGATCGAACACATACAAAAACTTTTACGACGCGATGGGTCTTGAACCAACGACCATACTTCACCGTGGTATTGCTCTTACCAACTGAGATACCGGTCAAATTATCGAGCTATCGAAATTCTCCTATGTGTTTTTGCTAAAGATCTTTCTACTGGATCTTTTAGCATTCTGAGCCGGCTGTGGTGAAGGTTCTAAAATCTCTCACTAGATGTCACTAACAGCTCAGAATGCCGAAAGATACAAAGATCTTTAACAAAAACACATAGAAGAACATCGACAACTCGATACCTTGACCCGTAGCTCAGTTGGTACGAGCAAACTACGGTGTAATATGGTCGTGAGTTCAAATCCCATTGAGTCGGAGAAATTTTTCTATGTAACGCGCACACACTCATAGCCCTGTACTAGGGAAACCCTGTGTCGCGGGTGCCATAGACACACACAGACAAACACAAATTATACCCAAACTCACGAGAGAAATAAATGCAGACCATACAAATATTTCTCGAATCGAACCTAGGACCTCTGCGTGGCAGTCCAGAATGGTAACCGTTCGGCTACGGAGACAGTTAATGTGTTCGGTCATTGTATTAATAACATAAATAACATAAAATTTTAAGATATCGTCAACAGAGAGAGTACTTTGCGTATTCCGTACAGGATGTACGTACAAAAATAATAGGGCATCGTGAACCAAATCCAATTGTTAGCGGTAAACTGTTTCCTGTGATACAACTTATTTGCAGTAACTAACAAACTTCATTGTGATCTTCTACTCACAAGTCACGACTTGCAAGCTGCCCACAACTCGAAGTTAGAATAAATTTCCATATTACTGGCTTCATCTCGGAAGTACTTTCAATGCTCTAAAGTCAGTGGAGCGCAGTTCCTTCGTTTGTCTTCTTTCTTGAATTAAAAATAATTTAGAAAAATAGTTATTTTATTCACCAGAAATATAAAGGTGCGTTCCCATTACGTCGTAACGTTTTGTTTATCGTTGGACGATTGTCGCGTCTAGCCGGTTCCCTTATCATAACTATCTCTGGCGACTGTGTCGTGGACGTTTAGGTACTCAAGGAGCCTAATGCTACAAAATGTACGATGAAGGGTAAATTATAATTTGTAACTTAAAATTTAACTAAAAATAAGTAGGCAAATAACGAACGTAATTAAACAGAATGTACTAGAAAATGCCGTAAGCAATTTTTTTAATTTACTTTCATTTTCCATAAAAATAAACAAAAATAAATAACTTTTCTCAAAACGAAGAAGAGTAAAAACAAAAGGAAACAAAATTGTTACCTAGCCGCTTAATTGATGGGGATAAATGAAGAGGGAGATATTATTCCATATTTCAGCGGCCATTTATATGAAACTAACCTTATAAGTTGTTTTATTAGAGAACGACATTAAGTGAGAGGCGAGATATTTTTTGTGAATACACAAGAATTAAACACAAAAATAAAAATGACGAAAAAAAAACTAATTTATAAAATCGTACATAATTCATACACAATAATATTTTAATATAGAAATTCGAACTTTAAGTGAGCCTTTACAAACACCATTGAAGAATTTTTTTTC